TTTGACAAAGGATATTATTTATGATAATGATCTCATTAAGTACCCCGATCCCAACCAGCTTTTCAAAGCTCTAACCCAAAAACCCTCAAGCCAACTAATAGGTACAAAGCTAATTCAAAAAAATAAAAATGAAAAACGAGTGTAAAGGTTAGCCCAATCAAGGGCATTATTCCCTATCAAAAACAAAAAAACCCATAATGGGAAATATATATATACAAGAAGAATAAAATCGTTCTAAACCCGACCGATCCGCATCCGAAAGTTGTTGACGGTGAGTGTTATGGAAGAAGCGAAACACACACCGAAGTTGAGGGTCGGGCCGAAACGTTCCGTGCATTGGGTGTGTTATAACACCCATGTAAAGAAAAAGGAAATGTGGGTCTTCAGCACCACAATACATCTCGACATGAGCTCCCCCCGCACATGCCCTGCGATTTCATAACGCACACCAATAAACAAACCCTCGCAAAAACTCTAACACCAGAAACCGACCCAAAAACCAGGAACCATGTCCATAAAAATGATAGTATAAGAAATCATCCATTTGGGTATCGAAAAAAACAACCGCTATGCGCCAGTAAAACTAAGGGATAAAATAATTTGCCGAAATGTGGAATAAAGGAGAGATTTGTCGAAATGGAAGTTGCCATACTGGAATTAAGATGGCCGAAAAGAATAAACGATTTACAGTAAGGGTATCGTATTGGGTGAAAAATGGTAAAGGACTTTTCTCCGCTCGAAGGGGGTCGAAAAGTTAATAAACAATAAGGTGGTACATATCCGGATACACTCGTCTAGAGGTTGAGTTTGTGATTTATGCCTTGTTGGCTCCGGGCCTAGCGCGCTCAGGAAGCTTCCATGGCATGCAGACAGTCTGGAGCGTGTTAATATTTGGATCGTTTTATTATTCCGATAAATGGGGTTACAAACCTCGCCTTCACTGTAAGCCCAAAAGTACATAGCAAGCCCAACTAGGTAGTAAATCGCAGCGTTTGTTCCCTGGTAGAGAAGAGCAGCGGCGAGGATGGCGAGAGGATATAGTGCAAGTCTTGCAGCGATACTTCGGTGGAAAGCGGTGTTGGGAATAAGAAGGGGTAGTGGGTATTCCCAGCAAACCCCCATTATTCCGAATAGAATATTGAAGATTTGGAGAATTGGAGCAGGCTTAACCGCCACATCCAGAGTTCTAGATATTCAGTGTTAGAGATTGGATTTTCTTTTGGATAAAGTTTGGAATCGTACTTTGTCCACATGTCCCAAAAAATCTTAGGCCAGAAGATTCCATGAATCCCAGCGGCTATCTGGTAGGTAGCAGCAGTGAGGATGATGAGACGGGCAAGGTGATTCTTGATGAGTCTTCCCATTTTGGCTTATCCGATTTTCACGTATTGAAGATTAAAGAATTGTTCGAGAAGCTTGATCAATAGACTACTTTTTGCAGCAAGGTGGAAACAGCAAGCTGTTTATCTTTTCTAGAAGAGTTTTAGAGGTGAGTAAGGCTGAGAGAGTAGTTGATCGTTTGTCCCGAGAAGTGAACCTGTCACAGACTCGGATGTATCGATGGTTATATAAAAGATGAAGGATAGAGGCGAAGGTGTGGCACAAATAAGAGTGAAAGATTCAAAAGGAAAAAAAAGCCAATAACCAGTAGTAACCCGAGGCCTTGGGATAGTAGCACTTTACAGAATTAGCCAGCAGCGGGCGGGGGTGCTGACGAGATTAGAAATTGGTGGTTGGTAGGGGCAGGAACGCAGCCAGTGAGTTCAGAATTTGGAGTGGAGGAAAGGAAAGGACATGCGGGAGATCCGGAATAGAAAAAGACCATCGATAGCGCCATACCCTTGAAGTCACTTGCACATGAACCCATGAATTACAGGGGTTTGGTGGTCCAAGTTTAGGAGCCCGATGTGCGACGAGCGTGCAGAATCAGGTCTGGGATCCTAAAACGGAACAGCGTATGATACTATTGTAGTAAAACGACATGGGTTTCAGCGTTAATATGCCGGATAGGCGCTCTCGCTTAACTTTGTGGACTGGGCTACGGACATGGGTTCGCATATGTAAATCACTCACCATCTCCCGCATAGTAGCGTAACGACTTCTTGTTGGTTGAGGTGGTAAATGCGTTACTGCACCCTGCAGGTCTTCCATCAATCACAGGCCATAGGGTCTCGCCTCCCATTATCCGACTATGCCAGGTACGAAGAGCGCTCGATAAACCCTGTTGATTGGCATAACAGAAGTCTGAGATGGGCTGCCTTTAACTAAAGTATCTGCTTGTCAGAATAGTAATACATTAAGTTTCTCCACTCAAAAAAATGAAAGGAATGTTGGTTCTTGGTCCTCATCACCCCGCACTCATCGGGGACGCCTATTCGTCAGTTCTTGATGAATATCTCCTCTAGAGATATTGGCATTCTAGCAGTGAGCGAACCGATCGGGTTCGGCAGACAAAATCCGAGATAGAACGATTGGCTCGTCGCCCCACGCATCTCGCTTCTCATCTTTGTTGGTTCCTTCTTCTACTCTAAAGCGATGCAAGCTATGAAAGTCCAATGGGATCTCTCGATCCGCCAACAGTCCCAAGACAGCAGGCTTACCCAACGGCACTGGTCTGGACTATCATTGGGCGCTACACATCTGGACCCAATATCCCGTCATTTCAGTAAGTACGTCTGCTTGCGCCAGGGCAACGAGCCACCGTGGTTCTAGAATGAGGAAAGTTGCAATCAACCTTAGACAATATTGTCGACGGGTACATAACAACCGTTATACCTGTGTATTATAGTGAGACCGACGTTTTGAAATTTTGTTTGAGGAAATTGTACCATCAGGATCAGGTATGAAGCTAATATACCTACTGATAAATCTATTGATTTCTTATTGTGTGCCAACTTCAACGAGATCTAGGAGTGGAGAAACCATAGGCCATCTCCCCGTCTGCATAAATCTCGGCCCCCAGTCGCTGTCAGGGGTGCTTACTTGCAGGCACGTGAACTAAACATGATTGATGATGTTCACGGCGCTTAAATGTCTTAGCTCTGTAGAGTGCTTTCTGTATGTACCATGTACCTACCCTCAGCTGGCCCATGCCTACAACGACGAAGTAGCGACGACTTTTCAATCGATGAAATTCCCGAGGTCATTATCGTTTGCCCCCATTCCGAGTGATGCCATCATGCACTGACCCCGGACGCTTTCTTATCATCGTATCAGTGAAAGTTCAAATGTTGGGTTTTTCATGGGGTCGGTTATGGAGTTATGTGGGATGATTTGCTAGCTGCAGTGGTGAGATTTTTCTTCTCGTTACTGTATGCTTGGGAGTCAATATGGGACGACTCAAATAGCTCCAAGATGTTAAGATGTTGGAAATCGGGGTGAATGGATAGTTAACAGGGGAGAAAACTCTGTGTGGACGAACACGAATGAGTGATGAAGTAAAGTTATGGTGCAGCGATACCTACAGCTAGCCTATTCGCTTGTAAGGAACCGATTTTAGTACGACGGACCCTGGCCGGCTAATATTGTGGTTTAGTCCAAATTTGGGTCATTTTGGCCAACAACAAGGCTGCAAGCCACGCGAAAGACTCCCACATGCGATCAACCTTTTCTTAGTAGCAACTAATATGGCTTTTCCAAATACCCAAAAGTGGAAGCGTTTTTGATAACTGTGCCTCTCCCCTCACACAAGTTCTGTCCACTCATTCCCTGCAAAATTTAGTAGCGCTTCAACGACTCTGTTGGCCCTGGTGTCCCAATATTCTCGACGGCGACAATATCATGATGCGATTGCCCCGTCCCCTCCCAGCTGCGGTCTCTACCGAGAGTGCACGATGCCACATTGCCCCCACCTGCTGCACCTACAATCGTGAGAGAGAAGGAGCCCTAACTCCGTGTGACGTGCCTACGCTTCAATAATTTTTTCTCGACGTCCCTGAATCACTCGTAGACTCGGACTCCTACTTACTCATACAAGTACTCCTGATCCCCGGGCCCCTCTGACCCGGATACCATTGTGCCAGGAACCCAGTATCTGGCAGCCCCGACAATCGAAAATTCTTCGCAGGTTAAGGAGATCGTTACAGCCCCCGACATCTTTCCTTCTTATTCACAAGCTTAAGGTCGCAGCATCTACCCCGTGCTTGGGTGATTTGCAATCTTTAAAACCTCCTCGCAATCTAGACATCGGTTGACTGTGTCAATCCTTTTCATCGGGTGAAGGCTGGTCCAAGTAACTTAAGCTCCCTGACGGGGAACATCTTTAAACAACAACTCCTGGAACCAAGTCGCATATTACTCCTGGTAGGACCCCTTCAAAATCCCTTCCCCTTGATATTCGTCTAGCTTTCCACTATCTTTCTACCTTACCTTATTGGCCTCTGATACCACCTTCGCCTCTCTCTTCCTCTCATCCAACTCCTCTTTACTCTTCTCCTCTCCGAGGTTCATCAGGAGGAACTTAAAGACCTTTCATTAAACCACCCTTTGCTTTTGTCATAATTGAACACAGTTTATCTCTCAACATTCATTTTGAATCGTGTGTTTGTCGCAGGTCGACCTTTACAACAGGAACTAAAGCTAAACTATATCTTTAATTATTCAGCGCTAGTAAAAATTAAAATGGCGGTTTCTGCAGCCGAGTCGTGGGTAAAAAGAGAGCTCACCGGGAGGAGGTTGTTATTTTGGATATTTTGGTGGGGTTCGCATTGGGGCCTTTTCGCCTTTGGATGGTAAGTCGCAATGTCCAATTATTACAGGATATACTCTTACCAAAAGGTTCTCTACATAGGTGGAAACAATCTGTTGATCCCAAGCTGGCGGGACTTAATACTCTCACATTTTCTGTTTGGATATCCCGAGGTGCAGGATTAGCACTTGCATATGATGGAGGATTGATCTTATTGCCAATGTGCAGAAATATCCTCAGAGTGATTAGACCGCAGATCAAGTGGCTGCCTTTGGACGAAAGTCAGTGGTTTCACAGGCAGACTGCGTACACCATGCTTTTATTCTCAATCATTCACACCACAGCTCATTACGTTAAGTAAGTAAATTTTCACTCACATCTCTTAAGAAAACTGGCTAAAGGTCTCTAGTTTCTTCAACGTTGAAAAATCACAAATTCGACCTACCACCGCCATCAAGATTCACTACACCCAAGCTGGTGGCATCACTGGTCATGTCATGCTTTTCTGTATGCTCCTTATGTACACCACTGCCCATCACAAGATTCGCCAGCAGTGCTTTGAGGCATTTTGGTATACCCATCATCTTGCTCTTATCTTCATCCTCGCCCTTTATACACACGCTGTTGGGTGTTTCGTACGTGACACTGCTGAGCCATTCTCCCCCTTCGATGGTGACATCTTCTGGAAGCATTGCATTGGATATCAAAGTTGGCGATTTACCCTTTGGACCTTTGGCATCTATTTCTTTGAGCGTGTGTGGAGGGAAATCCGGGCCAGAAAACAGACTGAAATCACTAAAGTGGTTAAACACCCGTACGGTACGTTAACGAGTTTCGCTCTCTACAGTATCAAGAATACTAATAGATTTTTGTTTAGGTGCCATGGAGCTTCAATTCAAAAAGTCTTCAATGAAGTACAAATCCGGCCAATATCTTTTCCTCAACGTCCCAGCCATCTCAAAGTACCAATGGCACCCGTTCACGATCACCTCGTGCCCATCAGACCCATACATTTCAGTTCACATTAGACAAGTTGGTGATTTCACCAAGGCTCTTGGAGACATGCTTGGCGCTGGAGCAGACGCAAAAGGATTCGAAAATTTAGATCCTATGGGGCAATACGAAATTGCCTGTCAGAACGGAGCTCAGATGCCAACCCTTAGAATCGACGGACCATACGGTGCACCTGCAGAGGATGTCTTTGATAATGAGATTGCTGTTCTCATCGGTACAGGTATCGGTGTTACTCCTTGGGCATCTATCTTGAAGAGCATCTGGCATAAACGCAACGCGCCTGGGGGTTCTGACATGCGCCTCCGTCGTGTTGAGTTTATTTGGGTTTGTCGTGATATCTCTTCTTTTGAATGGTTCCAAACACTTCTTTCCTCGCTCGAGAGACAAGGGGGGGCCAACTCCACCGACTTCTTGCGTATCCACACATATCTCACCCAAAGACTTGATGTCGACACCGCACAGAACATTGTATTGAACAGTGTTGGGATGGAAGTCGACCCGTTGACCCAGCTTAGAACCGGTACTCAATATGGGCGTCCTGACTTCCCGAAGCTTTTCGCCACAATGAGAGACGGGATCATGGATCAAAGCTATATTGGATTAGAAGGTACTCTGAAGACAAACGTTGGTGTCTATTTCTGCGGACCTAGCGTAGCAGCAAGAGATATTAGGAAGGCATGTAATGCGGCGTCGACGCCGGATGTTAATTTTGGTTTCTGGAAGGAACAGTTAGTATCCCATTTTTTTATAACTCTTGAGTTGATTTTCCTTACTGACTCTCGATGATAGTTTCTAATTGTTTATCCATTTATTGATGGCTCGAAATCCGTGCCTGGTTATTTTGCGATGGCGTTCTTTTGTCAAGTATTTATCTGATTATTTTTTTCCTTTTGTATGACAGTATGGGCGATACCCGGTGTTGGAATTTGGTACTTTATTTTGTTTATTACGTCATCCTAAAGACATGGATATATAAGTATTTATTTATTATTTCAGAATGTACAGTCAGTACATTGTTGTCCCTTTGGCTGCATGGTGTTCAAACTGCCTTTAATTGTTAGACGAGTGATGTTATGTGTAGTAAGGAAAATCTGTTTTTGGCTTCTACAAGCTTTTTAAGAAAATGATTTACCCACCTGTCTACGTAAAAGAAACTACACTCATACTTTTGAGGAATGTATCTCCACGTGATCAAAATGGCAAACGCTCGCCACCTTGATAATACGGTTTGCATCTGTCGGTCTTCATTTTAGCAGTTCTTTATTGATCATCGAGCGATATAGTGCAGGCTATTGGGAGATCGTGCAAACAATCCTGTTTGTCCCCTCCCGATCGAAGGGTTAGGTTTACCCACCGAGCCCAATCATCATTGGCCATTATTTTTGTAGTGCCAAGAACAGATTGTTCGTCCAGAGCCTGCCAGAAAATTTTTGGTTGCCAGGCCAGCGACCACGCCCAGCCAGCGAGTCATCATACTGCTTGTTGGCCTGCTGGCTTTCCCCTCCCCTTTCTCTCTTTTCCCTTGCCCTCTTTTTCTGCCCCTCACCAAACACGTCTACATAACATAACGCCTGGACACCACCACAACGACCAGCCAACTTTCCCTCTTTCCTCTCTCTCTCTCTCTTCCTCACCCATCAGACAAAAGGTATTTATATTCCAAGCTTTACTAAATAAATACATCCCCCGTTCCTATCATTTTCTTTTGCTTTGGGTTACTAACATATCCTGTCCCTTCACCAAGAAGAACTCATCACGACTTATCGCTAGCGTCATCTCAAAGACAACCTTTACTCTAACTTCACGCGACACTTAATTTTTTTCAAAAATGGCCACCCAAGCTCCCGTCGCTGCTGGCACAGTCCCAACCTTCAAGCTCGTCCTTGTCGGTGATGGTGGTACCGGAAAGGTATGCTTTTTTCTCTCTTTTCTTATATTCCTTCGCGTTCTTGTCGTTGCGGTTATTGCCGTGCACGTTGTTTCCCATCATCATCACCATCATCCCCCCCATCCCCTGCAGCCAGGAGTGTAAGGCTTGCATCTTTATCACCGCTTAACTTTGGCGGATTAAGATGTCCTTGATCTGAGCCTATCAAACTTTGAAATCAGACTAGATCTTTGTTGCTAACAATTTTTTTTTTTTTTGGCTGTTAGACCACCTTCGTCAAGCGCCATTTAACTGGTGAGTTCGAGAAGAAGTACATTGCCACTCTCGGTGTCGAGGTTCAGTATGTCACCCATCTATTTCTTTCTATTGTTCCCTAGTATTGCTTTTCACGAAAATTCGGCATCCTATGGCACTATGTTGCGCTAGTACTCTTTTGTCGAGCCTCAGTGCTAACATGATTTATTATAGCCCTCTTGGTTTCTTCACCAACTATGGTGAACTCAAGTTCGATGTGTGGGATACCGCTGGTCAGGAGAAGTTCGGAGGACTGAGAGATGGTTATTACATCAACGGTAACTGTGGTATCATCATGTTCGACGTTACCTCCAGAATCACCTACAAGAACGTCCCCAACTGGCACCGTAAGTTTCCTCATTTTTTGAACGAGATCACTCTCATTTTGAGTAAAGAAATTTTATAACATCGACTTCTCCCCAGGTGACCTCGTCCGAGTTTGCGAGAACATCCCTATCGTCCTGACCGGTAACAAGGTCGATGTTAAGGAACGTAAGGTCAAGGCCAAGACCATCACTTTCCACCGCAAGAAGAACCTCCAGTACTACGACATTTCTGCCAAGTCCAACTACAACTTCGAGAAGCCCTTCTTGTGGTTGGCCAGAAAGCTCGTCGGCAACCCCGGCCTTGAGTTCGTTGCTTCCCCAGCATTGGCTCCACCTGAGGTCACTGTCGACCACACTCTCTTGGAGGCTTACAACAAGGAGATGGAGGAGGCTGCCCAGCACCCTCTGCCTGATGAAGATGATGCGTACGTTTTATCCCACTGATTTTGTTCACGTCAAGTATACTTTCGCTAATGTCTGATATAGTGATTTGTAAACGAGAAAAATTCTACGAACCCCAAAAGATAATGATCGGATTACGATGTCCCATGCCCTCGTCATTTTCCCCAGCGTCGCCAGCTTGTCCGATCTCGTTTCCTTTTTTTTCCTATCTTAACTTTTCTTTTACTGGGACTAGCCAGGGATAAATGGGGGAAATGAATCTCTTGTGCTACGACAATTCGGTTGCTTTGTTCTTGTGGTTTCTAAAAGATGAGAAGGAGAGAATATAATCGATAAAATTAAATTAAAGTTCGCATTCTAGGGGGAACCACTTTTCCTTTAATTCTTTCCTTCTTCGGTTGTAGCGGTTTGTGAAGATATGGGTTTTATTTGGTATGGTTGGGTCTCTTTCTTTGGTTCTCAGCATAGGAGCTTCGTCATATGGTTAAGGAAAGCTTCGCATGTGCGTTCAACTGTTCGAAAGATAGATTGAATGAGATGATAGACAATAAGTTGCTACGAAGTAAACAGTCCAGAGTCCGTAGCTTTTGAGAAGACTTTGTTTAAATTTGTTGAGCAAACCATAGCTTCACGCGTCTTTTTTGAGCTGCCTTGTCGCGTCCTTATTACAACACACCATTGATGTGCACCAGGTATCCCAAAACGGTGAGGAGATGCATGTCGCTGTTGGTTCCAGAGTAGGCAGTAACACCCGAAGCGGTGCTGCTGCTGTTGTTGCACAATCACTCGTTTTTTCCCTCTTCTCGCCGGATATCGACCTGTGTGGAGTACTTGGTTACTCTACATTTACAAGCTCCGGTGTCTATTATATACCCACATGTACCTACTATCTCCCTCTAGATATAAACCTAGCTGAGTGTGGAAAGTAGAGTAGGTAGGTACTCTACTTTCCACAAATTAGATCCCGGGTATCAACCGTGGGGCCCGTCCGTAGCCACATGGGCTAGAGTACTCTACATGCAATATCGCGCCGAAGCATAGTTAACGCGGGGGAACGGGGTTCACAAACCTTGATTGGGGGATAAATGGCACCAGCCAGGGGTACATAGAGTAGAGTAGCTATGCGCGTAAAGTGGATTTTTTTTTTCGCGTTTTGTTGTTTGAGTCATGGGCGCGGGCGCTGGACACAGACCAGCATGGGGTTGTTGGGGTTCGAGGGGCTTGGTGAGTCACACCCCTGGTATGGTAGGCTCGGTGAGTGGGTCATGGGGGATCACTCGTAGGGTTGGGTGGCGGCCTGGGGATGGGGGCCAGCTTGGGTTGATTGATTAATTGTGGCCAGCTTGGGTTAGGGTATCGTACGCGCTGGGTTATCGTGGGTTAGTAATTTGGTTATGGCCCGCCCGGCATTGCCATTGAGTACTCTCTTGGAGCGCTTCGAGGGCTTGGAGCTGAAAGTTAACCTTGTCGCGTTTCTGTAGTCACGATGGTATGGTAGCTGGTATGTAGTTGGTCCGAGGAGTGGGTCTATAGTTGAAGACCCTATTTAGGAGGAAGGTTGTTGGAGCAATCATTGCGACGGCGACCCCGATCCAGTGCGCTCCAATTTCACCGGTGAGGAATGGGATGGGGTATTATATAGTGAGTGGTCCAGTCACGCCATAGTCACAGCTACCGGCGAACCAGCCGCGGGGCAGTTTCTAGTTGAGAATGTATAGTCTAAGAAGGCAACACAGGGGAAGAATGGAGGTTCTAAAAGAGCGGAGGTAGATATGACCGTCGCGTTTAGCATAAAGTGTTAGGGCCTTGGTGGGTTATGTGAAGGGCCTGGTTAATTCAGAAAACGGGTTCTTTGGTGGATTTATGGATGTTATCCAGTCAGTATGAGGGTAAGGAGGACTTGAGTAGTGAAGGAGACTATAGCGGTTGATAAATAGTTTTTTTTCGTGACTGGATGAGTAGTGGGTTGTGGTCTTTTTCTATCAAGTGCTGGATTTTGCCTGGGTCTGGGGCGATCCGTTAATTCTCACCCGGTAGTGAAAAGGACGGCTAAGATCGAAAATTCCCTCTATTATCCTTATTAATATAGGGGCTCGTAGTGTATCATTGCACAGATATATAGGGCCTCTTGATTGCCGTTATATACAGCACAATATAAAAAGATTCATTCTCCTTCTCCGATAAGCTCAAGGCCGTCCTTATGTTCTAGCCAGGAGGTTCGTAAGACTTGTTCTTCTAGAACGGCGTGTGCAACTAGAGTCTGGTTTTCTGACTCCGGTTGATCAGTGCCTTTATCTGAGAAGCTTGTTTCTTCCATCCTGTCGTGGAGTTGGAGCTGATACGACTAGTCCTTAGTTCTACTAGTGTCCTCTCGCGAAGGGATAGCTAGGCTCTGACACGATATCCCGTGATATGTCGAAACGCTATCTAAAAACATAAACACACCCTGTACTAGCATATTAAAAGTACTCATTTAAAAAAAAAAACCTAAACACAAAAGGTACAAGGGGAGGAGATTTAGAACAGCGGCGACCTTCCCCGCGCGCTCCCCAACCTATGGTAATGATTAGTTCCGCACCCCATTGTTCCATGGCTGATCCACTCGGATCCCACCTTCCACTATGAATCACCCATGAGTCACCACCACCAGTAGCACACGGCTAGTGCCGCTCACCGGATCACAGCCTATCACTCGCCGTCCCAAGCCCCTTTCAGAATCTAGGGTGGCCGGGGAGAATGCCCGCCATAAATAAAGAAGCCGGAAACCTGCCGATCAAGATCTAAAATACCGGTGAATAACCTACCCGCAGCATGAGTCTCTTCACATTCGTAAGTCCACCCCACTCCTCCCGGCGATACGGCGAGACTACTAGCTAGCTAAATTAAGCTGCTACCGCAGGGTACGAAAACCGTAGGCCCGGCGTTCAGCTTCGCCTCCACAACACCGTTCACAACTGGCGCCGGCGGGCGCACGGCACTACACATCGCCGCGCTTCAGGGCGATATGGTAGCAGTGACTGAGCTGCTCCGCGGCGGTGCCGACATCGACGCTGCGGATGACAACGGCACGCGGGCTCTGCACGTTGCGGCGGGCGCTGCGGGGGACAGAGCGGGTATATGCGAGCTGCTACTGGAGGCGGGCGCGGACATAAATTGTGTTGATCGGGCGGGTGATACGGCGCTACATCTAGCGGCTGGGTGTGGGGATGTGGCGACGGTAGGAATGTTATTGGTCTGGGGTGCGAAACTGGTTGTGAATGGGCGCGGGAAGACGCCAAGGGTGATAGCGAAAGAAGCGGGATGGAGTGATGTAGTAGCTTTGTTTCCCGCCGAGGGGGTGTGGTGCTCGTGGGAGGGGGTGTTGGATACGTTTGGGGGGGGCTCCTGTGAGGGTAGGCTAGGGTATGGGCCGTGTGAGATATTTGAGGAGGGGGGTGGGTGTGGGTTTTGTGGTGAGTTTTATGGGATGGGTGAGGAGGAGGGGGTGGAGGTGGTGGAGACGAGAATGGGGAGTAGGAAACGGAAATGGGAGAGTAAAAAGTAGAAGTAAAAATAATAATAGTAATTACCACGAATGATTTCTGTTTTCCCCTGTAACAATATTGATAATGATAGAAACTAGAGGTAGAAGCTGGTTTTATGTAAGTTAGCTGAGAGTCGGTCAATGATGTAAAAATTACGTAAATACCCGTCAGAAAGCTACTCGACGATATAGTCATGGGTTACTTTTTTTGAATGCAAGGACGCACCCTCACGTAGTATATGTGTAGCTATGAAAAACACTGTCGGCGTTTACTTAAAAATAGTTATTAATGGGCACAATGCAAAACAGAATGATGCATGGGAGGAACTCATCTTTTTCGATGTTTTCTAAGAAGTAATATTAATATTTTCAGAGTAATATTACGATGTGTTTGCGGCCAAGTCGAGAACATGTATTCGAAGCTGCGCACAACCTTAGGATCATATATTATCACTCGAAGTCCCGCGATGTCTCGTCTTGGAGTAGGCCAGTATCGCAAGTCAAGCCTCGTGATCGAGCTCAAGTCTCATACCCAAATTGAAACGGCGGCTGGCAGGAGTTGCAGCACTGTGAACATCGTATCAAGAATGAATTTCATCGTTTTTATAATCGCCAGAGCCAAAAAGAGTGTTTCCCATGAGACGAGACGCCATGCCAAAGGCTCTTGTCTTAAAACTCTTGTCTCAGAGAGCCCAAAACCAAATATCTTTAGCCTCGAGACTAGCGAAGCTAAAGTAGCCCCATGAATATTAGTATGTAAATGGTCAGTGGCATGCTTTAACCCACGTACAGCTGGCCACCAACAGGAGTTAGTTATCAGTGCTCAAGCATTTTTTTACGAGTCCCTCGGAAATTTATAGCAAACAATCATTGAACTCTTTGGAAACCAGGAACAATTGAAGATTTCTTTCTTCGACGATTGGTGTCAGGTCTTGGCTCATGGCTACTCACTCGGTTCTCCCAAGTGTGTCTTGGGACTGATAGGACGAGACGAGACCGGCCCCTTAATTTCACAAGACGAGACAAGACTAGGCCTTCGTCTCAACTCGAACGGTATTGTGGAGAACAGTAGCCAAAAACCCCAAACCTAAAGGGACCAAAGGGACCAAACCAAACTCACAACTTTTAGCCTTAGCATAAAGTCTAGGACACAATTGGAGTAAAAGGAAGTTGTAACCTACACCGGTGAAGGAAGAGGGAATGAGGGACTAAAAGGAACAGAGCCGAGAACACAGAGAACAGGAAGAGAGCCAATAGGAACAGAGAAGGGGCCGTCATGGAACAGCGGAATCCGGAACCCAAAAGGGAACAGGGGGGAACTCAAAAGGATAGAGGAAGCCAAAAAGGAATAGGGGGAGAATCAGCAGGAACCAACCAGAGATGGAGAGTCAAAAAGGAACAGCGGGAGCCAAAAAGAACAACGAGAGCCAAAAAAGAACGAGAGCCAACGGAAACATAGGGAGCCACAACTACAGAATAAACCAAAAGGGAATTAACAGATATCCGGAAGAAACACAGAGAGAGAGCCAGCGGGGAACATAGAGAGCCAACAAGGAACAGTGGGGGGAGCCTAAAGGAACCGGGGGGGGGGGGGCCAAAAGGAACAAAAATGGCACCTCTTCGACCCTCGGCACAGCCCAGAGTCCAAGAGCGGCGGGGAATGAACATAATATTGGTCATGAGGTGGGTACGAAAGGCAAAGTGTCGAAAGGGAGATAAGGGCAGGTAGATAGAGGGGTAGAATGCCAATTGGCAGGTGTAGGGGCAGCCTCGTTGAAGCTTTTTGGGGGGAGGGACACGATAGGCAGAGACAGAGTGAACGATAGAGAAAGAAGTTATTTGTGAGGTTGAAGGGTTGACATGGCAGTGGTCAAGAGGTCGTTATTTGTGCGCACTCTGTTTGTTCGTTGTGTTGTGCGGCCCCCCCAGGGTAACTGCATACAATCAATGAGTCAACGATGAAAAGGAAGCCCACAGGGTAACGTTTCACAAATGGCTGCCTGAACTTGTAACCAGATAGCAGACGTCAAATCCATCTGCCAAGCTGCCGAATCACAACGCACACTAGTGTCTCACAACCCACCCGCAACAAAACTTTGACTCTGTTGCACCGGCAGCTACATATAGAGCAAAAAGCCATTATAGCAGCCCCGATTAACCTCGCCATCGCCCAAGCCAAAGCTGGGCGCCTAACATGCCGTCTCTTCGTCCGAGTGATACCTCATGACCGACGCTCAAAACGGAGTATGAGCTACGTCAACTATCGCCGACGCTCGAAAAAACCAGTTTTATAATGTACATATAGCAACCGATGGTCTCCGCGCCTAATATTAGTAAAAGGCAAGTGGGCCAGTACACACCTCTCATGATCAAGCGTACCACATTCCAAGAATCCGTGCGCGACAAGTGCACACATGACCTACATACTCCCCACCCACCAGCCAGCCAGCTAGCAGCCAATATGCCAGAAAAACTACATAGACATAGACCATGCGTATATTGGTAGGTAAAACACACGAAGGGATTAATGGGTTCAAAAAGGGATCATATCAAGAGTTCGATTTAGTGCTATAGTAGGATGGGCGGGTAAAACTTTCGTCCCGGATTTAGTTCACTTCACATCTTGGGGGAAGACACCTGGAGGGGAAAGCTAGCTTTACCATCCCCTCCAGCACATAGTTATTTCCGGTTCCGTAGCCATAGTGGCGTATGTGTTCGTGCATGCCCTCGAAAGGAAACAAGTACGGCAGCGAGGCCGGGGTTCGATTCCCGCTACGGAAAACCACATTTTTATTTTATTTTTTTGACTCCAGGCTTTGAAGTGTCGAATTGAAGAGTAAATCGTCCTGTCTTGTCGGCCCAGCCTCGTTGAAGTTCTTTAGGAGGAGGTGGCACGAGAGGCAAGGCAAATAGCAGCTCGTGAATGGGGGGAATAGAGGCAGAGGTCGAGTGATGTACTGGAGGGAGGACCTGTTGGCGAAGTTGGGGGGTTTTACGTGGCGGTGGTCAAGATGTGATTTGTGCACGGTAGCAGCTAGATGTCCACCACACCAGCTTCCGAACTATAACCTACCTCCGTCCGGTATCGATCCACAACAGACCCGCCCGTAACGCAACTTCCGCCATATTACACCGAACAGAACAGAAAGCTGTCCCGCACGCGGCTAAAAAGCCAACAAGCCGGGCACCCAACATCCATACCCGAGTGGTACCCGGTACCTTATGATCCGCAAGTATGGGGAATCACAAGTAATTCCTCTAAACAATATATATTATGAGTTACTGCTTGGATACATGTATTCTCCACTGTTGTCCCGAAAAACCGACTAACAAACCCCCCACACCCCGAGTGACCGCCCATGAACCCGGCGTCAACAAAGCCAGGCGCCTGTTTTTACCCGCATCCCACCTCAAACCAGCAGCAACATACATGTATATACACACCCAGCCTCCCCACCCCCACTGCCCCGGAGCGAGGAAAAACCATCTCGAGTGACACCCCATGACGGACATTCGATATCCTCAACCCCATCGGCCACCACCCTCCCAACCCACCATCCCCAACACCCATCAGAAAAAAAAAACGTCCCACTTGCCCACCACCTATATCTACGTCACTATTATCACCCACCAAATATCATTCCTAACACCGTACCCCCAAAGCCACAATCATCCTTCCTCGGGAACCCCCAAAACAGAAAGATCGACCACCGGCAGCGGCACCAGGAGGATACCGAGAGAGCGCCTGCCACTGTGATCAGCAGAAAAGAAGCCTTTCGCCGATCCCGCTCACCGGTGTGACAGATCTGGGGGGGTGCAACGTCATGGAGATAGATATATCTAATCTACACGTCCCACCACCACCACCACCACCACCACCACCTCGGTTCAGCCACCACCACCCGCATACACACAACCTCCTCGGCAACACAACACCACACCCACCACCGGCCCCAATCACAACCCCAGATTATCCCACACCCTTGCGATGCCGCAATCACATGTCAGCAGCGGGTGCGAGTGGGGGTTCACAACTCCACATTTCGGACGAACAGCGATCCGAGTGAGCAGTCGTGTCCCGGATGGACTTTCCAGCCGGTCGAGAGAAGAGAAGAAAAAAAGGATTTCTTGTATTGTATTGTATTGTATTTTGTGCAATGGTACCTCCTCTTTTTTCTTTCTTCCTGCTGACAGAACAAAGAAAAAAAATGGAAAATGGAAATGTCTACGGCGCATGTATGCTATGCTGCCCAACAACAATAACGAACAACGGCGACAACGAATTATAATAAACACGAGTTCCACCAACCACCATCACCACGAATGGACGGAGAGAAGATGTATCTACATGTACAACACCCCCCCCCCAAATGCAAAACAAACAGACAGACAGACGGGGAAAAAAGCAGAGAAAAAACAGGTGAGATAAAATACAATGTACCAACTCATGATGATTGTAAAAAGAAACAGTAAGAAAAACAATGAGGAAAAAAAGAAAAAGAAAGAGAGGGTAAACAAAAAAAAAAATACTAATGAATAATGCAACCCAATGAATTTACTCCAAACACAAAACAAAACACCCATAATCCAAAAAATAAAAAGAGCATTCCAACAAAGAGAACGAGAAAGGGGGGGGCAGGGGAAGGGCTAAAACAAAAATTACAAGTCACTGGTCTTCTTCTTCATCCTCTATCGATTAGATACCGATGCCCTCACCGGCCGGCTCCTTCTCCTCCTCCGTCTTGGGCTCCTCCTTCTTCTCTGTCAGCACCTGGATCTCACGGACAACCTCGTCGGCAATGCCGCCCATCTCCTTCTCGACGAATTCAACGGCCTGGTGCAGCCTCCCCTGGTCGATATCCATCTTGAGCCCAATCTTGCCAAGACCCAGACCGGGGATCTTGGAGGCAATGGACTTCCGCTCCTTCGCCTTTTCTACATCGTCCTGGTCCTCGACATGGTTATCCGCGAGCTTGACATCCTCGTCGTCATCGAGCTCGCCCTCTTCCTCGTCGTCTTCGGCATTATCGGCCCCGGCCTCAACCTCGGCTTCGGCTTCTTCTTCTTCATCGTCATATTCCTCTTCGCCGTCGCCGTCCTCGGCGTTTTCTGTGTAGTAGCTCTCGCCCATGCCGTGCTCGGACTCATAGTAGCTCTCGCCCATCTCACCCTCTTCCTCTTCCTCCTCATCCTCCTCATCCTCGTCATCCTCGTCGTTTTCCTCTTCGCTGTCCGAGAAGTCCTCCGGATCGGGAATGGTCTCGCGCCAGTAGTTGAAATCCGTGTACTGCTCATCCTGGCTCAGTAGCCCGACGGGCGGGAAGTAGTGGTCCACAAGGTCCCTCATGTTTACATATGAACTTTTATACGTTGTGAGCGTAAGTAGATCTAGTGACACCTCGGCATACGAATTGATGGTGAAGATCCTGGTCGAGGGAATCTTGACGGAACGGTAGGACAGCGCATCCGTAAGCCTGTTTCCAAAACCCGCATAAAATGGGTTATGGTTCTGCCCAAACAGATTCAAGATATCCCTCAGGCATGCCATCTTGAACACTTCGGGCTTGCGCAGATACACCTCTCTGCACGATTGCGAAAAAATAAGTAAAAAAAAAATAAGAAAAACTTCAATTATGCAGAAGCAAACAAGCGGGGAAACAAAAAAAAAAAACCACACACCTTCTCAAAGCGGAAAACGTCCGATCCGGGCTCATGATCACCGGTCCTTTTGGCAATTTGTATTTATCCTGTACAATCCCGTTAAGATAATTCCGCGTGGTGTCTGCCTGCCCTACAGCCCGACTGGTCAGATAAAGCAGATGGTATCCGTTTGCTGCAATGTCGGTATAGAGCTTTGCTACTCCCAGGTGCGTCCAATCTCTACCAATCATGGTCAAGACGTGGCCCAGCGCATCAGATCTACAACCCACGATAAGCATTTTTACTCCCAAAATCTTGATTGGAACGCGGGGGGGGGGGGGGGGGGGTAAGCTCACTTTGTGATTGTCCCATCAATGTCTGAAATCACGATCGGAACATCGTGCTTCCAGACATACATGTAAGCAGTACAAGTTGCCTTGTTGACACTGAAACTGATCTCATTCGCCCCCGGCTTCAAGTTCAAGCTCTTGAGCTGCGTCGATGTGAGCCTCAGAGTCTTTGCGTAATTCTTCACTGAGTCATCGGTAGTCTCCTGCCCCGGCAGCGGGGGTGTCGAAGGCGGCGTCGACAATCTCTGTATTCTCGTGCTCCCATACCCAGAGGACGAATCGCTCTTTGCATCGTCCGACGAATACCCCTGATCGGACACGGCCTCATACATGTGCGAAATGCCGCCGTCCTCACGGCTCGCCTGCTCCTTTGCATCCTCGCTCGAGTAGATCCACAGGTTCCCGTTCCTGTCGGCCGCGATCAGTGACCCAATGTCATAGTCGCCGTCCAGCTCCTCGGCAAGAATCTTGCGCGCAATCATCTCAGCCTGCAGCGACTCCTCCTGATCGAGGTTGTACCCGTTTATGTCCAACATGACGTCACCCTTGTCGGTGATGTGCGTGGGGATATTACTGATCGACAGCTTCCGCGACAGCGCCAACGCCCGCTCGACCGCTGCAGCGTGCTCGAGCGGCGGGGGCGACCGCGTGCGCACCGGACCCCCGCCATTCCCGGAAAGCGTGTACCGCCGATTGCTGCTTGGGAGTATATCCTCCGACGCGCTGCGCTCCAGGTGCACCGCAGCGCCGCTCCAATCGCCGCTCGCGGGGCGGTTGTTCTCCGGTGACGAGCTCAGCGGCGTAAGTCCTCCTGGTAAGTCTCACCAAAATCAGCAAACCCGACCCAACACCTCCCCCCCCCATCTCACCACCGCCGCCGCCGCCCACACATCACATACCGAGATCGCTCTGCGCCCTTCTGGGGTTAATTGGCAGGGCCCCTTCAAAGTCCTTGTCCAGACCGGCGCCATCGCCGATATTTAGGTAGTCGGGCTCCTGTAACGTCGTCGGATCGGGCACGGTGGCCATTGAGCGAGGACTCGCCGACGGCGAGACCAGCGGCGATGTCTGCATATCCGCCGGCACGGCATGGCTCGTCTCGAACACGAAGAAGGCCTCGCCGCCGTCGCCGAGCTTCATAGGGTAGTCTGTTTTCACGCCGTTCACGCGGAACTCAACCTGCTCTCACACAGTCAGACCCCCCCTTCCTCGACTTCCTGATGGGGGCGGAAAGGAGAGAGGTGGAGAGGGCACTCGCCTTTTTCTCGGACGGCCGTAGGAGCGAGAATTTACCGAACCGGACGTGGAACGGGGAGCATGCGAGGTCGCCTATGGGGTTTCCCGGTGGTAAGCATGGGGGGGCCCCCACAAAGAAGCCGGGGGAGGGGAGGGGGGGGTTTACCATTCTCCTGCTCGACTACAATCACGTCGATAGCACCGCTTAGTGTAGCGGGACTGTGGTGGGAAACTTGTCAACTAGAGCTCCTAGGGGAAGAAGAGGGGGGGGGGGGGGGGGGGGGGTGTGAGAAGGTTACGGGGGAGGCAATGTACTTTATCGAATTCCAGGTCTTTGAGACCGAACCACTGAGACTCCTGACATACTGCATAGTAGTAGTAGTAGTTTAAGACCGGCCGTCAATTTAGACTGTAGAAACTGTAGTCGGTCGTGGTAGTGGAAGAGACGGAGACAGAGAGCGAAGAGACAGTTGGGTAGGGGGCGGGGGGGATGTTGTATAGTATTTCTATGACAGGTCGCAGTGGGTGAGTGTGTGTGTGTGGGTACTATAGATAGGAGGAGAAGCTGTCAGATGTGGCTGGCCGATGCTTGTTTTGTTTGTATGTAGTCTGTATGTATGTACGTGTTTGGGAGGGAAAGGGACGGAGGGGAAAAGGGCTGCAAGGCGTAAAGTGATTGTGGTTTGGGGGGGGGGGGGGGGAGAGGTATGTTGTATGTATGTGGGCTTTGGATAGGTATGTAGAACGGGGGCTGCCGGCAAGAGAGATGGGTGGGTTTTCTTTTCTCACTCTCTAGGTATCTTTCTCTTCTATCTACCTCACTCTCTATCTATCTATCTGCTCTCTTCTCTATCGTTCGGGGGGAGTTGCAGCTGCAGGTGGTTGTGGTTGTGGTGGTGGTGGTGGTGGTAATGCAAGCAGCAGTAGTGGGTGGTGGTGAGTATATGAAAGTATGTAGTTGTGGTGGAGAGGAAGGAGGGCCCGGTATGTGGAGGAGGATATGGGGGAGAGATAGGTAAGTAACCCAACCACATGCGTGCAGGGAGCAGAGCACTCTAAGTAGGTGTACCTAGGTAAGTACATCAGACATCAGACAGACCTTGTTGGAGAGCAACAACTAGGGGTTGTGGATATTCAGCACACTACATCATGGACGTAACCTAGCGGTAGTAGTACCGTAGTGTAGTCTATGCAGCCTGCCCTGCCCTGTCCGCCGCCCTTCGCAACGGCCGCTGCGTAACCTGCCCCGGATGTTGAGCAGTTATTTCTTGTTGAGGAGATCTGAACCTAAGACAAACCTGGGCAAGCAAGCAAAATGAACAGCCAAAACCATCGCTTCACTCTCACGGAAGCCCAACGTCCGAGAGCAGCAGCACAACGAAATGCTTGCTTGTGACAGCCGAACAACATGTCTGGTATGCTACTACCCCAAAGAAAATCCCCACAAAACTGTTTTTGGTGAAACGGCTTTTCGCATCCTCATCCTCCCCCTTGTGGCTTGTTGGGTGGTGGGGTGGTGCCAGTGGTGGGTTTACGTTGGGCTGGCTGTGCGATACGTTACCCAATTCTACAAACCCAAAGGTCCTCCAGTCTATCTTGTCGCCAGGTAAAAAAAAAAAAAAAAAAAAAAAGCCCTTTTACTGCCGGGGGCCCCAACAAACGTTTTTTTTTTTCCCTGCTCTAGAGTACAGGTATTTTTCTTACTCATTGCCATGTAGGCAGAGTAGGCAGACAGTCATCCACTCCCCCCCTCCATCTGCAAGGCGGTACATTGCGGCTCCCCATCTCTTCTTCAGCTGCCCCATCGGTCGAGCAACTTTTTAGATTCTGAGAAAGTTATTTTTTTTCTTTCTCTTTCTTTCTTTCCGCCTGCAAGCAATTCGGGTAAAGCAAAATGAGCAAAATGATGCAAGACAAAACCAATCTGGTCAGACGATTGCTTCCAATGGAGCCTCCGCTCCCTCCAGCCAGTAGAGTAGATGAATGATGAATGATGATGATGATGATGATGATATATCCTCTAGCCATCCTTCCTCCATCTCCTCTTATTTCATTTTTTCCTCCCCCGCCAAAGGAAGGGGAAAAAAAAAAAAAAAAAAAAACCTTACGGCGAATTAAAAAAAAAAACCCGGTTTACTTAGCTGGTTTGGTTGGGGTCTCGACCCTGAAGGCGTCGCCCACCTGATCTGGTTGTTGAGATTTTGTTTTGCTTTGTTTCGCTTCTTCGCTTTGTGTGTGAGCCTCCTCCTCCTCCTCCTCCACAAATAAATCCATCACATCACATCACGCCGACCGGCAGACAGGACCGTTGATGTCAGATTTCAGGATTGAGTTTCAAACCGCACCACAGCACACACACACATACCTTTTTTTACTCTAGCCCCGCGCGCCGCTGTGCCCTTCAAATTCTCCGGCGCCGGACGAAATCAGGGAACACAGGCTGGCTGCTGGCTGCTGGCTGCTGGCTGCATCTTGGTCTCCATGAGCGCTAGCCAAGGAGCTACATACGACAAAACTACCGAAAGCCAAAAACAGAACGGACGGGAAAGGGAAGAAAGAAGGTCCTTCTGGAAGAAATCCTGTTTTGCGCCCCTTCCACGCCCGGATTGGACGCTGGCTAGCTGGCTGCATAACCTCCATGTACCTACCGCATAACTCTAGAAGAAAGGAAGAAAAACCTCGTGAGGGTTTGCGTGTGTAGGAGGAGGTACTCATAAAAAAGCAAATATCTGTCGGTCGAGCTAGGGTTTTCCCCACACGTTGTTTTTGTGTGTGGTGGTGGTGGTGGTGGGAGGTGGGTAAGGGTTCTAACTTCTGGGTGGTTTGCAATTTGGGATGAGATGGGAGGCTTGGCGTAAGTCTTGGTTTGCTTGCTTGCTGTGGGTTACGGATGATATTACTGCCTTAATTCGCGGGGGGGGCCATGTCAAAGAATAAACATAGTTTTGGCCCCCGGTGGATACTTGATACGGACGACGAGTTCAACTGTGGGGTAGATATAGAGCGGAGGATTCGTTACCAGTGAATCGACTGAATGGGGGTGGAATTGATGGACGGCCATGGTAGGATGGATTGGAGTTAGGCCTTTGTGAATCACATCCCATCACTCGGCGATACCTTACACCCCCCCCCACAATAACAGCCGGGAGCCATGTGATGTGCAACTCGGAAGAGCTTGTGCCGATGGTGGAAATTGCGGCCCGAACACTTGACTTTGTGGGCGTCCGAGAGCCCTCCGTGCGTGCTCGGGGTAGTGGGTGCGTGGATCCCTAACCCTGGGATACCTAGGTGGGCCGAAGTGTTGAAGAATACCTACATGTATTTAGACAGAGATATTACCGTTGATACCTCACCTAGCCCCTGTTGCTCAAAACGCCGTGTCTCGGCCCCGAGTCCACGCCAGAGTAAACGATGGCCAGAATCAAGTGCATGCTCTAAAGTGTGCACATGTATGTATGTAGAGTCTCGATATCTCCAGACCGGTGCTCTCTCTCGAGCATCGTTCCAGCCTCCTCGTCCTCGCTCGCTAGCCACGTAACCTGCGTGCTGCCAGCACAACATCCATCTGCTCCGCGTAAGTATTCCAGAGCCAGACCAAGACAGAACCTTAAATCCAGAGAAAGGTGGGTGGGTGCTGCGTAACACAGGTGCGACACGGACAGATGAGGGCAGATATGGCAATCAATTAACAGCCACTCTAGAGTACATAGGTACATAGGTACATGTAGCTACAGGATGCACTCTAGGCTTCAAGCACTCCCGCCTGCATGTGGAGCCAGAGGAGCCAGAGGAAGTACCTTCTGTCCTGGTGCGCCCGAGACAAGAGAGACCCCCTTCCTCTCTGCCCAGGATCGCCCTCCCTGCACCTCGCTCCACAGGCACAGGCACAGGCACAGCCACAGCCACATACATGTATCACGTATCTCACTGGATACATCCAACCGCAGCGGCGTAACTCGGATCACTCAGAGATCACGTAATCCGCGCTGTGTGTACTCCATGTGACTAAGCCCCCGCCGGCACAGTCTCTTCTCTTGCCTTCTCCAGTCTCTTCACTGCGAGTAGTAGTCGTCGTTGTTGCTGCTGTTCAGAATCGCCCGCACTTCATATATGCGTCCTCGCCAAGTAAAGTTTCACGCACATACACACACCTCACCTCACCTCGCACACACACACACACACCTCACCTCGCACACACACACCAGACCCTGAGCAGGTCGTGAAGTCTCTCTCTCTCCCTCCCCTCGTAGGCGACATCATCCACCGTCCATCGATCAGGTTCACCACGGAGCAGCAGCAACTACGCAATCATTAGCACGTCGTGATGGTTCTCGTCATCATTGGCACAATTGTCGCCCTGGCATGGTAAGCCTTCATTCACACACACACACACACGCTATCTGCGGTGGCAGCAAACTGATGGCAAATAGGATGTGCTATAGAGCATCGACGCTGCTCAAGATCCCGATACCGACGCTCGTGAAGCTTCTAGGTCTCGATCTGCCCGCTCCGCCGCGTGTCTCGTTGCACGGCATCGCCGCAGACACAATCACGCTGCACTGGAGCCTTCCCGAGAAGGCAGGGTCCGTGGCGAAGCACATCATCCAGATCAATGGAATCAACGGTTAGCCGCCGCCCCCCCCCCCCCCCCCAATTCGCCCACATTCCAAGGCAATGGCAATATATACTAACAAGCCCCCTCCCACCACACAGTCGGCGAATCCGAGAAGCGCGGCGAGACCAGCGTAACCGTCACGGGCCTCAACCCCGACAACCTCTACAACGTGCGCGTCATCGCCGCCAATGCCCACAACTTCCAGGCCCCCGGCCAGCTGATCCGCCTGCGCACGCGGCGCAAGTCGCTCTCGTCGTCGTCGGCCGAGTCGTCGGTCGGCCCCAAGACCGACTCCTCCGAGGACCTGCCCAGCATCCACTCGCACCACGTCGAGCCGCAGCAGCAGCACCCGCAGCCGCAGCACGCCCACCACCACCGCCGCGCCGGAAAGGGGTCCGCGGACCAGCGCAGGAACTCGCCCGCTGCGGCGGCAGAGCAGCAGGCGCAGCAGGGTCAGGGCGCGGCGGTGGCGGCCGCGGCCGCGGAGGAGCAGCACTCGGTGGAGACGCTGACGGCCGCGCTGGAGGCGGTGCGCAGGGATACAGACGATGTGGATTCGCAGTTGGCGCATACGGAGGAGGAGTTTAAGAGCGCCGAGGCGGTGCTGAGGTCGGAGCTGGACTTGCTCAAGGAGAAGAAGAATGAGGAGGATCTTAGCCGCCAGAAGCTCCGCAGCGAGACGCGCTCGCTGGAGGAGGTGAAGCGGGCGGCAGAGGCGCTGAGGAGTAAGACGGATAAGGCCCTGCGGGCCAAAGA